TTTAAGTTGGAACCTACAGGATTTGGCAACATACTGGATGTGAGGCTCAAAGGTGAGGCCAGAGTCAAGTATGACGCCAAGACAACGCGCTTGCAAGGATGGACTTATGTGGATATCACCGACTTGAAGGGAGAGCGAGAGAGGAGGATCAGTATTAGGAGGAGGAAAGACAAGGAGTTCAGTTTTAGAGAGATTGCGTTTCAGAAAGCGTGAGGACATCCAGTCAGAGATGGAAGAAAGGCAAGCAGTGATGCGTTGCAGGACAGCATGGGAGAGGTCCAGGGAAGAGAGGTATATCTGAGTGTCATCAGCGTACAGGTGGTAGTGGAATCCAAAAGAGGCAATAAGTTTGCCAAGAGAGGCAGTATAAAGAGAAAATAAAGGACAGAGCCTTGGGGAACTCCAACTGAGACAGGTCGAGGGGAGGAGGTATCCTTGGAAAAGGAGACACTGTATGAGCGTTGGGAGAGATAAGAGGAAAACCATGAGAGGACAGAATCACAGAGACCGAGCAATTGAAGAGTTTGAAGGAGGAGAGCATGATCAACGGTGTTGAAGGCAGCAGAGAGGTCAAGGAGAATTAATATGGAGTAGTGACCTTTGAATTTAGCTGTGATTAGGTCATTAGTAACTTTGATAAGAGCAGTCTCAGTAGAATGGAGAGGGCAGAAGCCAGACTGAATAGGGTCAAGGAGAGAGTTGGAATTGAGGAAGCGAGACACACGGGTAAAGACAAGTCTTTCCAAAAGCTTTGATGAAAAAGGGAGCAGGGATATGGGACGATAGTTAGAGGGGAAGGATGGGTCAAGAGATGTTTTTTTCAGGATAGGTACTACAGTGGCATGTTTAAGGTCAGCAGGAATAGTGCCAGAAGAGAGAAAGCAGTTGAAGATGTGTGTTAGGGTAGGCACAAGACAAGGAGAGAGAGATCTGATGAGGTGAGATGGGACAGGATTGAGCGGGCAAATGGTGGGGCGAGAGGAATGGAGAAGCGCAGCCACCTCTTGTTCCGTAGCCGGGGAGAAAGTCTTAAGGGTAGGAAAGGCATGATTTATGTGTGGGTGAGAAAGAGAACAGCAAGGAGGGGAGAATTATTAACCCTTTCTATACTTGGCCTAATAAAGGTTTAGTTTTGAATTGCTTATAGAATTATGTTTTGATTTTGCAGGTTCTGTGATGGATAAGGACTGTCTGTCAAAACACTGGTATTTTTCAGATCAGAAGAGTTTGGACAGCTGCTTTCAGCTTCTCTTAAAAGGATACTTTAGGCCCCTAGAGCACTTCATTCGGGTATAAAAAGGCGAATGCTCATAAGGGAATTACAGCTCTTGAAATAGTTCTGAATGTGGACGAAATGCATCGAGTAAATGCAAATAGATGAACGCACTGCAAGGACTCTGGTGATCTGAAATTCTGGTGAATACAATATACCAACCAAACTGGGATTTTCCACCTGATTGCTATTACTGCGTAAGATCCTGAGAACAGTATATGTTTGCCGGAGAAGTGGCCCCCTGGTGGGCAATGTGTATATAGCACAATTTCGTTTGTGCATATATCCTTGTGAGTGTACATTTGGTTGTTTTCAATTTTTATTGTTATATTAAATACTATACTATGGCATTTCTTTTTTTCTCTATGCTTTTTTATTTATATGATCCACTTTATACATACTAGTTTTGAGAGTGCCTTTTAAAGGTAATACTCATATTTTACATAGTTTTCTGCACATAATTTAGAATTTGCACAGTGCCTTTTTTTTTGCGCCAAAGACAATATTTTGGTTTATTTCATGTTTGTTTTGGAACTATTGGAGGTGTTTCTGTCTTTTAGAATGACTTCTGCACGTTATCAAGGTTACACTTTACTAATATTTTGAACGTAATATTACCCATTTCAGGGCCAGAGGACTGGACATACCATGACCCCTGGTATATATTAAGGTGTTAACCTCTCTAGGGTTAACTCATTCTAAACCAGGAAATTGGGTTTCTCTGAGTCCAATGCATATGTAGGGATTAACCCCATATGGGCAACAATATATAAAGGTAAGGTAACCACTTCTAAGGATAACTTCTTATGGACAAGTGGTTTGGGCTTTGTTTATTTTTTATTTTTTTTGTTTATTGCATGTGTGTGTGTGTGTGTATAACAGTGTGTATTTTTATCACATATTGTGTATGTATATAAGTGTGTGTATCTGTGAGTATGTATATGCGTAATAGTGTGTGCATTTGTATGTGCAACAGTTTGTGTGTACATGGGAGTGTGTATATATGCAATAGTATGTGTATCTGTGTAACAGTGTGTGTGTCTATATGTGTAAAAGTTTGTGTGTATATGTGCAACTGTGTATTTGTGAGTATATGTCTGTATATGTGTGCTACAGAGGCCCCAGGCTTCCAGGATTTAATCATGGACTGAATGCATTATTGTCTCACACAAGCAGGACTGTCTGACAATACAAATCGCACAATAAAGCATTCAAGATATTTAACAACCAAACTTTGGTTGCATTCACCACATTTTGCTACCTTTTTACTCAAATTGGCTCATAACACTATTAAACTCTATCTTGAGGGCGGGGCCTGAGCTTCATGGCCGCAGGATGCATCTCGAGAGTGCTCCTCAGCTATTGACTGAATAGTGCTTGTTTGCTGATCAAGGGCATTCTGCATTAGCACCCTTCGAGACATACCTGCTTCCCAAATCCAGCGGGTTGTCCTGGACAAATCTATGCAGGACTGCGTGCTTTTCCTTAAAACACTGGGTGAGGCCTGGTGAAGGCATGGGCATGAGAGGTGGCAGTGTTCCTGCTCCGTACACTCGGCCCCACAATGCAGCCTCATTCCCACCCTTCTGGACCAGTGGGGGATACCATTGGGTTAATTTGCTTGCCTGTAATGTGGCTCACAGAGAGCTTCCGCTTACCCTCGCAACCAAGGGACTCTTTCCAAGATGGCGAATTCAACTATTCCTCGCGCACACAACCTGACCCCACATCAGCCTGGCATTATTGAAAGTTGCCTGATGAGGCTTAAGCAACTTTTTCAGTGCTTTTGGGCTGTGTTGGAGGAACAGGCTCAGGCATCATCTTATACAGGGGGACTCGCCTCCAACCCTTCATGCCGAATTGTGGCCCTAGGGCTATCCTGATGGTAGGCATGGCTTGAGAGAGATTCTCCTAAGGGTTCCCGGATGGGTGCTGCAGAGAAAACAGCGCAAAAGCCCACTGGAATAGCCCAGATCTTTGGCTCCCACACTTGCTGCACCTTGCTCCACTATCAAATGGACAAGCTTGCACACTCCCACTGCGACCTACGACTTTCAGTGACCTGTCACCCATGTGGCCTGCTCCTTGGGATCTGCGGTCGGTGGACATGAGCCCCTGGTGGAGGGGTGGTTTAAATATATCTTGTAATTTAACTATAGTTCTATACCTCGGCATATTTATTTCTCTCCATCTATAGAACTAGGAACTTGATGTTTTTGTTCCTAATTACAAATGTGCAGTATATTCAACACTAATGATGTCTATTACTGTTGCTTATGCCTTTTTACAAATGTCTCTTTACATTTACTTTGCTATGCGATGCAATACAAATACAATGAATGT